ATATATATATATATATATATATATAATGTACAGTGTATGGATAAAGCTATTGGGACAAAGTTATTATTAATTTTACTTGTTTCCATTCCCAACAGCTTTCATAAAGAAATCCAGTGCTATGTGCTATTTGTTTCAACATTGTAGCTCTTCTTCAACTTCATGCATGAAGTTGAGCTACAAAAATACCATATGCTAGGCCTACAACATGCGAAACTATGTAGGTAAACATAAAATATTGTATGCTAGGCCTACAACATGTGAAACTATGTAGGTAAACATAAAATATTGTATGCTAGGCCTACAACATGCAAAACTATGTAAGTAAACATAAAATATTGTATGCTAGGCCTACAACATGTGAAACTATGTAGGTAAACATAAAATATTGTATGCTAGGCCTACAACATGTGAAACTATGTAGGTAAACATAAAATATTGTATGCTAGGCCTACAACATGTGAAACTATGTAGGTAAACAAAATATTGTATGCTAGGCCTACAACATGCAAAACTATGTAGGTAAGCATGAAAAAGATTGTATGCTAGGCATACAACATGCAAAATTATGTAGGTAAACATGATGTGAAGTTCAGAACATTATTGACTATCTAACTACTGACCAATCAAAAGTAGCATTTCATACTCTGCTACTTGCTCAACCAAAGTCACAAATGTCAGACAGTTTTGCAAATTGGCAGCTATATATTAATCATTTTGTGAAGATCTTGGTTTCTCAGTTGCGTTGGTTAGTATTCTGCTTGTGAAATGGAAGCATTATATGATAAGTCTTGAACCCTGTATTAGCAGTATTTCTAACACTGAGTATGTAATAGGAAATGCTAGAATTTATCTGAATTATATAGATATTAATCTCTTGGTGATGAGTAGAAAAAATGAGAAATTAAAAGTAGGTAAAGCACCAGGATCAGATGAATATTTAACTTTAAAATGGCTGTGTGAGTTGATTCAGTGCACCTGTTGCATGGTGCACTTCAAATAAAAAAAAAAGGTATCAAATTATTCAAAACTTCAGGTGAAATTTCTATATATTATGTAGATTATATAAAATGAAGTACTTTATTTTCATATGCCCATAAAGTTGAAATGTCCAGCTTTCAAAAGTGCTTGGGCTGTAGGGTTTCATATTTTTGTGTTAAACTGATTTCTTAAACCTAAATGCTTTCCTAACATCATGAAATTATTTATATATGTGATATAGTTATGTATCTTCTGCTTTGGAAACTTAAAGATTTTGGAATTTTTTTCAAAGAAATGGCTAAAATGCTTACCTTTAACCCTTTCCAGATGAGTCACGAGTGAAAGGCTGTGTCATCACATTTGTTGACTTGCATTCAAAATTTTATTGAATTACAATTTCATGAATTTATGTCAATAAGTTTGGTATCAAATGATAAAGTAAGCTTTAAAAACAAATTGAAACTAATTTTGGTGGAGGTTGTATATAAACATATCACCAAGTAAAGTCTTTCTCAATTTGTTATATTCCCTACATGAGTCTGCTGAATTGGAAACTGTATTGACTCATAAATATTTAAAAAGAATAGAAAGAGAACTTTCATAAGATGTTTAGTCACTAGTCTGTGACAAAGGCAGTGTACAAAACACTGACAAATAAGACAGAAAGTAGTTACAAGGTGCATGTTGGTGCAATTTTGCTCAAAACTGATTTGACTTTCCTTCTTGGAGTCTGTAAGTAGCATATTATGCTTAGACAAAGTTCACAGTCGTTAATGTTATCATTCAGAACTCACTAAAATCAACTAAAAATGAACATGTGCAATATTTAAAATTTTTGGCCATGGTATATAGGCTTGTAGAACGGCTGAGTTTGTTTTTGTTTTTGCGAGTACAAACTTTTAGCTCATAGTGCCATCATCCCTTGACCGATTTTAGATCTCGGGGTATGAGTTAGAGTGATGTCCTCAATTCATAAATATCTCAAGTACAAATACTTTATAAAGATATCTGATTTTTTGTGTACTTGTACTTATTACTAAAAGCTTGCCACATTTGATGAAGGTACACATAGTAATCTTGAAATTATAGTCCATGGTACTTCTCCAAAATAATGCTGAGTCCAATGGACCAAGCCTGTGCATATTGGATTAATGATATTCATAGGGACATAATTAGTAAAGTAGTAAAGTTTGCTGATGACTTTAAACTCTTGTGTATTTCTAGTTATCTACAGAATAATTGGGATCAGTTGTTGAGTTGCACAAATATTTGGCAAGTGATCTTTAATCAAAGTAGCAAGGTCATTTGTGTCATTGTAACTTGGACCATATTGTGTATGGGAATACATTAGCAGTGACTAAAGAAAAGGATCTTCATATCTTAAATAAGTTCACTTTGAATGTTATTAACATGTAAAGTTAACATTTAAATAGAAAAAGTTGGTTTATGTATATTTCTTAATGATTGTAAACTTGGAGTGACCAACAAGCCCTGCTTTGAGACCTTGTTTTACTAAACATGCATGCTCTTTTTCTCTGGGAACATCTTTTACACATGATAAGCTGTTAATTCTTAGGTTTCCTGTTTTTCAGATTGATCGAGAAGTTGCTAAGCTTTTAGAGATGAAAGCTATTTTAGGTGAGGAGGGAGGACCACAAAAATTCACGTTAAAAACTCCAAAGGTAAAATCAGTTTGAGAAATATCTATAGAACTTAAGGAGAGTTGTAGAAATATCTATAGAACTTAGTTCCTATTTAATAATTGAATGATGCCTAAAGCTTTTGTAGAAAGTTATAAATAACATAAAGAAGTTGAATTAATTAGTAGTTATTATAAAGTTCATCATTTATCAAAGATATGCTGACTAAACTATCAGTACCTAGAGCTAGTGAGAACATGTCCAGAAAAGACACCAAGTATTCGACTGATTGATTCTTTGTCAAGTATTGTTATTGCATTAACACATCTTTGATATATAGTTGTTTACAAATCTTTCCGTGTTGTCTGTCTTCTTATGAGATGTCCTTGTAGTTTTAACACATCTTTGATATATAGTTGTTTACAAATCTTTCCATGTTGTCTGTCTTCTTATGAGATGTCCTTGTAGTTTTAACATATCTTTGATATATAGTTGTTTACAAAACTTTCCATGTTGTCTGTCTTCTTATGAGATGTTCTTGTAGTTTTAACACATCTTTGATATATAGTTGTTTACAAATCTTTCCATGTTGTCTGTCTTCTTATGAGATGTCCTTGTAGTTTTAACACATCTTTGATATATAGTTGTTTACAAATCTTTCCATGTTGTCTGTCTTCTTATGAGATGTTCTTGTAGTTTTAACATATCTTTGATATATAGTTGAAGTAAATCTAAAAACACCAACTTTTTACCATATTTAAACATAAAAAGAAGAAGTGTCAGAACTAACCTTTAGTTCAAAAACAGGAGTGTCAATAATGTAAAAGTATCAGAACTAACCTTTAGTTCCAAAACAGGAGTGTCAATAGTGTAGAAATATCAGAACTAACCTTTAGTTCAAAAACAGGAGTGTCAATAGTTTCTGCTCCATGTCTTTTGAAACAAGATACAATCGTACTGAACATGTGTTCTCTGATACCCATCTGCTGGGGCCCATAGTCCTTTGTTCCCTGAGGTTAAAACACTAAAGATAAACATCACTATTTCTTAGCATTGTTACAATTTATATTTCAAGTTATTAATCTCTGGAAAAAGTACTTTACTGAAACATTAGGAGTGTCAATAGTGTTTTTGAACTAAAGGCTAGTTCTGACACTTCTTCACTATTGACACTCCTGTTTTTGAATTAAAGGTTAGTTCTGATACTTATACAAAAGGTCATGAGTAATACTTCATCATTCTAAAGAAATACATATTTCAGAATTTTCTTTTTTAGTGAAGTTACACATTTTAAACATGGTTTAGTACCTTTTTACTTATACATTGAACTTTTCAGTTTTGTGTGAAGTATTGCCTTAAAACTCAATATATATATTTGTTGATTTTTTTTTACCTGATGAAACTTGAGATTTAAAATTAGGTTGTATTCCATCAGTCTTAAACCTGGTGATTTTTAAGTTTTATTGTTGGAATATATTCTACTAGCTTTAAACCATGTGATATTTAATTTGGGAATATATTCTACTAGTTTTAAACCATGTAATTTTGAAATTTTAAAGTTAGAATATATTCTACTAGTTTTAAACTTGGTGATATTTAAGTTTTAAAATTAGAATATATTCTACTAGTTTTAAACTTGGTGATATTTAAGTTTTAAAATTAGAATATATTCTACTAGTTTTAAACTTGGTGATATTTAATTTGGAATATATTCTACTAGTTTTAAACCTGGTTATATTTAAGTTTTAAAGTTAGAATATATTCTACTAGTTTTAAACTTGGTGATATTTAAGTTTTAAAATTAGAATATATTCTACTAGTTTTAAACTTGGTGATATTTAATTTTGGAATATATTCTACTAGTTTTAAACCTGGTTATATTTAAGTTTTAAAGTTAGAATATATTCTACTAGTTTTAAACCTGGTTATATTTAAGTTTTAAAGTTAGAATATATTCTACTAGTTTTAAACTTGGTGATATTTAATTTGGGAATATATTCTACTAGCTTTAAACCATGTAATTTTGAAATTTTAATGTTGGAATATATTCTAGAATTTTTCAATGTGATTAGTTTTTTGTTTTATAGTGAAAATTTATTCTAGCAGTTTTCAAGCCGGTGATTTTTTTTTGACTTTCAAGATATTAAATGTACAAAAATGTTTTCTTCTGTTTTTACCTTAAGTTTGATAATCATTTAAGTTATTAAACAAATTATAGAAACTCTTTGTTTTGACAGGAAACATTAACTGGTAAATATGGAGAAGACAGCAAGTTGATATATGACTTAGCTGACCAAGGAGGAGAGATTCTCTCACTTCGATACGATCTTACAGTTCCATTTGCACGTTACTTAGCTATGAACAAGGTTACAAATTTAAAAAGATATCACATTGGAAAGGTTTACAGGAGAGATAATCCTTCTATGGCTCGAGGTCGTTACAGAGAATTCTATCAGTGTGTAAGTTGTAACACTATTTATTACCAAATATTAACCTATGTTATTCCAAACGATATAATTATTTTGGTTATTTCACCTATGTACATTTTGCCACAATGATGTGGAATGCTATAAGTAAGTTGTGTATGTTTGTTTTATGGGCTTGTTTGGTCATTTTGCTTTTAACAGGACATATGAAAGGTTATTTCTAGATTTGAAGCAAACTCTTTTTGTTAATCCTTTAACAAATTCTAAGTTTTTAAATATACATAGGCCAGCCAAGCAGGAAGTCAACCAGAGAA